GGACTGGGAGGGACTGGGAGAGGGGGCTGGGGGCATGGGGAGGAGGCTGGGGGGGGACTGGGGGTGACTGGGAGGGAACTGGGGGCATGGAAAAGGCACTGGGAGGGCACTGGGGACATGGGATGGGGACTGGGGGTGACTGGGAGGGAACTGGGGGTGACTGGGAGGGGGCTGGGGACATGGGATGGGGACTGGGGGTGACTGGGAGGGAACTGGGGACATGGGCAGGGGACTGGGAGGGAACTGGGGGGCACCTTCCCGTTTTTTTCCCTTCTTCCTCCTCCTCCTCTTCTCCTTTACCTCCTCACCTCCCCTTTCCCTTCTCACCGTTCATTCCTCCTTTCCCTCCTCACATCCCCCACTCTGTTTTTTCCCGTTTTTTCCCGTTTTTTCCCGTTTTTCCCGTTTTTCCCCTTTTTTTGCCCCAAACCTCGCCGCCCCCCCCAGCCTGGCTCTGTTCAACACGCGCTTCCTGCGCCTCTGCGCCGACCTGGACCCGCGGGTGCGGCCCCTGGGCTACGCCGTGCGCCTGTGGGCCGGGGGGCAGCGCCTGGCAGGTGAGGGGGGGGCGGGACCCCTCCCCAAAATTGGATGGGAGCCCCCGAAAAGGGGTTGGGACCCCCAAAAAAGGGTTGGGAACCCCTCTTAGGACAGCCCCCACCCCATTATTCCCACCAGGAATTTCCTCCAGGCAGCGAGGGGGGGTCGTGGCCGATTGAGGGGGGGGTCTCGGCCTCTTGGGCACCCCCGTCACGACCCCTCCCCCGTTATTCCCGCAGGGAACCGGGCCGGGGGCGGCCCCCTCCTCACCAACTACGCCCTGACCCTGCTCGTGGTGCTGTTCCTGCAGAGCCGCAGCCCCCCCGTGCTGCCCTCGGTGCGGCAGCTCCGACACCTGGCAGGTGCCCAAACCCCCTTCCCCCACCCTCCCCGCCCCATTTTGGGGGTCCCTGACCCCCTCCCCGTGTTCGTTGCAGGACCCCAGGACCGAGCCCAGGTTGGGGGGTGGGATTGCAGCTTCCCCCGGGACGCGGCCGGGCTGGAGCCCAGCGGGAACGGGCAGAGCATCGGTGAGGAGGGGGCGGCTCTGGGGGTCCCTGAATCGGGGAGGGGCTCGAATCCCGCTGGGAGGGTCCCTAAATCGGGGAGGGGCTCGAATCCCGCTGGGAGGGTCCTTAAATCCCACTGGGAGGGGTCCTCAAATTTGGGAGGGGCTCGAATCCCGCTGGGAGGGTCCCTAAATCGGGGCGGGGCTCGAATCCTGCTGGAGGGGTCCTCAAATCCTACCGAGTTTTGGGTTTTTTTCTGGCTGGTTTTGGGGGTGGTTTCTGGGGGTGTTTCTGGGTGTTCGGGAGGAATTTCTGGATGGGTTTGGGGGTATTTTTGGGGGTGTTTCTGGGTGATTTTGGGGTTGTTCCGGGATGTTTTTTGGGGCGTTCTGGATGTTTTCGGGGGCTCTCTGACCACCCCTTCCCCACCCCAGCCTCCCTCCTGGCCGAGTTCTTCTCCTATTTCGCCTCCCTGGATCTGGGGGGGCTCCTCCTGTCCCCCCTGGAGGGCCGAGCTCTGCCTCGCCCCCCACCCGAGAGCCTCGGGGGTCTCCGCCCGGGCCCCCTGACCCTGCAGGACCCCTTCGAGCTCAGCCACAACGTGGCCGCCAACGTCACCCCTCGCACCGTGTCGCGATTCGTGCGCTGCTGTCGCGACGCCGCCCGCCTGTGTCGCGGCCCCGAGTTCGTGCAGAGATCGCGCCGGGGCCGCCCCTGGGGCATCGTGCGGCTGCTCCAGGCCGGGCCCAGCGGGAATCGCGACAATTCCCGGGGGAAATTCCTCATCCCGGTGCCGCTGCCGTGCCCGGGGGAGGCCCCGCAGCGCCGGCTCTGTGCGGCCGTGCCGTTCGTGCTCACGGAGGTGCTGGGGTGCGGCTGCGAGCCCCAGGGGGGATTTGGGGACGAGGGGACACCGGGGGACGAGGGGGAGTCACCACCGGGAGCCAAATGTCACCTGGAGGGGGTGACGGGCGATTCCCGGGGGGAATTTGGGGCACCGGAGGATGAGGAGGAGCCGCTCCTGGATCCCTCAGAGCCACCACCGGGAGCCGGTTGTCACCCGGAGGGGGTGACAGGAGATTCCCCGGCGGAATTTGGGGACGCGGGGACACCGGGGCCGGGCTGGAAGCGTCGCCTCCCCTCGGGGGTCCCGAACGGGGCCGGGGTCCCTCCCGCAAAGCGGCCCCGGCTGCCCCCGCTCCCCTCCCGCTGGAGCTGCTGTGTCCGGTACCGGGTGTGGCGGGGCCGCCGCCGCCTCCGCCGCCGCCTCCGCCACCAGGGGGGCTCCGGGGGGGCTCAAGGTCCTGAGGGTCCCGAGACTCCTGGAGGGGTTCAGGGTCCCGGGGGGGCTCCGGGTCCTGGGGATCTCGGGGGTCCCGGGGGTCCCGGTGAGGTTCGGGATCCCGGGGGTCCCGGGGATTTCGGGGGTCCCGGGGGGTCGCCCCTGGCCCTGGAGCGGGCCGTGACCGAGGCCATTGTCCGAGGGGACACCGGGAGCCCCCCCGGGGACCCCCCGGAGCCGCTGCTGCGTTTCCAGCTCACCGCCAGTGCGGGGGGGTCACGCCGGGACCCCCAAATTCTGCTGCGCCTCCAACCCGAGCCCGACCCCCCCTCGCCGCTTTTCCAGGAGTTTTTCCATTTTTTGCGGAGTTTTCTGCCGGGAATGGTGCGGCAGAGCCTGGGGTGGGGGGCGCGGAGCCCCCCGGCGAGGGGGGAGAATTTTGTAAATCCTGAAGTTTTCCAGTAAAATCCGCTCTGCAGCGTGGCCTGGGGTTATTGGGGGGAAAAATGAGGAAATGAGAGAATTTTATTGAGCAGGCAGCAGCACTGAGTGACCACGGGAGCTGTTCCTGGACCCGCAAATCCTTCCCTGGCCACTGGACACCCCTGGCTGGCCACCAAACCCTCTGTGGGCCACTGGACACCCCTGACTGGCCACCAAACCCTCTTTATTGGCCACCGGATGCCTTTTATTGCCCACTCCTCGCCACTCACGGACCCCCCACCCTCTTTATTGACCATTGCCCACTCCTCACCACTCAGTGGCCACCACGCGCTCTTTATTGGCCACCGGCCCCCCATCCTTGCCCAGCCCTCGCCCCCTCCCCAGGCCCCCCGCGGGCCGTGGGCGCTCACAGCAGCAGCAGCAGCGAGTACTCGGCCCGTGGCCAGCGCCGCGGGGCCCTCGCGGTCCTGCCGATCATCGGGAGCCTCTGCGCGTAGCGGGAGCCGAGCGCGGCCCCGGGCGGCTGCGGGAAACTCGTCTGGAACCTCCGGCCGGGGCAGCGGCGCCCGGTCTGGCGCCCCGCGATCACGAAACTGAAGCGGGGAGGTCCCCGAGGGGCGAAGCGACATTTCTGGAACACGTCCCGAGCGCCGGGCCGGTGGCCGGAGGGGGTGCGGGGGGTCCCGCGGGGTCGGGGCGGGGGTCCCGGGGTTCGGTGCAGGGGGGGTCGTGCCGGGGGGGGCTCCTCGTCCCTCGGGCTCACCGTGGCGTTCGTCAACTGCGGCATTTTACGGGCGGCCCCTTCGGCCGGGGGCTCTTTGCGGGCACCCTCGGACGCCCCCGGGGGGCTCGGGGGCTCGGCGGGGGCGCCGGTACCGAAACGGGCGGCCAGGCTGTCCCCAAAAAAATCGTAGAGCTCGCGGTACATGTCCCGCAGCGACGGCGACAGCGGCGACAGCGGCGACGACGACGAGGAGGAAGAGGAGGAGGAAGAGGAGGAGGAGGAGGAGGAGGTGGGGCCGCCCCCGACGCCCCCCGGGACCGACGGGCGGCCCCAACCCAGCTCAGGGAAGGGGTCCTGGCCGGGGGGGCTGTGCCGGGGGGACCCCTCGGGACCCCCAAATCCCGGGGCTTGCTGAGCTTTGGCTTTCAGCAGCCGCTCCACGGCGACCTGGGGGACACGGAGAGAGCCGGGGGGGGGGTTAAGGGGTGCGGGACCCCCTCCCCAAAATGTCCCCCCCCGCCCCCAGCCCCGCGCAGCCCCTCACCAGGATGGCGCCGTAGACTTTGTGGCCGTCGGCCTTGACCTGAGCGTTGGACACGGAGTAATCGTCCAGCACGGCCTGCAGGTTGGGCCAGTACGTGGGGAGGTGGGGGTACAGCACCCGCTCCACTGCCTGGGGGGGACACGGTGTGGGACCCCCACCCCCCGAACCCCCCCAGACCCCCCCGAACCCCCTTTAGGACCCCCTGACTCTCAAAATCTCCTGAGATCCCCACAAAACCTCTCTCACCCCTCCCATGGGAACCTCCTCCAAACCCCCTTGAGACCCCCCAGAACCCCTTGAGACCCCCCTGGAGCCCCCCAAACCCCCCCCGAAGCCCCCCAAACCCCCCCGGAGCCCCCAAACCTTCCAGCCCAGCGCGTGCAGCCCCACCACGGCGCCGTAGTGGGAGCAGAGCGGCCGCACCGGATCCGCCAGAACCTTCTGGAGCGAGAGCAGGATCTGCTGGTACAGCCCTCGGACCAGCTCGCCGTGACTCCTGCGGGCACGGGCGGGCACTGAGACCCCCGAGACCCCCGGGACACCCCAAATTCCCCCCTCAGGAGCCCCCTCCCCACCAGAAGATGCGGCCCAGCAGCATGGCCGCGTAGTCCCGCAGGGTCCAGTGGTCGTTGAGGGGGTTGATGGAGGCGGCCAAGGGCTCCAGGACGCAGTAGAGCACCGAGCCCATGAGGCTGCACACGTACGAGCCCAGGCACAGGAACGGGTTCTGGATCAGGCTCCGGGCCAGGTGCAGCAGCCGGCTCAGCTGCTCCAGGTCGTGGCTCACGGATTTCACCTGGGCCAGGTGAGGGGGGGGGAAAAAAGTTGGGATGGAGATTGCAGAGCTTTGGGAAAATTCCGGGAATTCTTTCAGTGAGGAATCCCAAACCCAGGAGCTTCTGGATGAACCCAAAATCTTCCAGCCTAGACACCCCCAGGACCCCCAGTCTCACCCTAGAGCCACTTGGGACCCCCCCCAGATTTACCCCAAACCCTTTGGGGGAACTTCCAAACTCATCCCAGATCCCCTGGGGACCACCAAGAACTCACCCCAGACTCTCCCAAGACCCCTAAAACTCACCCCACACCTTCCAGCACCTCTCAAACCCACCCCAAACCCTCCCAGGAGCCCCAAAACTCACCCCAAACCCTCCCAGGACTCTCAAAATTCACTCCAGACCCCTCCAGGACCTCCCAAAATTCACCCCACACTTTCCAGCACCCCGTCAAACTCTTCCCAGACCCCTTCAACTCACCCCAGACCCCTCCAGGACCCCTCCAAACTCCTTCTAGACCCTGCAGAACCCCCCCAAATTCACCCCAGACCCCCTGGAGACTCCCCAGGCCCCCCCCAGGACCCCCAAACTCACCCCACTGACCACGTAGACGAAGTAGGGCAGCAGCGCCGCGATCTTGGGGTTGCTCTGGAGGTCCTGCAGAGCCACCTGGGGGGACACCGGGGGGGTCAGCGGGGCTGGGGGGGGTCAGCAGCCCCCCAGGGGGTCCCCAGCCCCTCACCCACCTTCATGAGCTGGGGGTCATCGCCCAGCACGGCGCGGGTCACGTGCTGGTAATACTTGAGGAGGTCATCGGTCAGCGAGGACACGGCGCTGGGCACTGCAGGGGGGGCACCCCAAAAAATAAAAACCCTCCGGGGGGGTCTGGAGCTCCTGGGGGGGGGGGGGGGGTCCCAGAGGGTCTCTGGAGGGGTCTCTGGGAGGTTTTGGGGGATCCTGGGGGGTCCTGGAGGTTTTGGGATGGGGAGCAGAGGGATCTGGGGATTCCTGAGGGTCCCAGGGGCCTTTGGGGGATCCAGGGGGTCTTGAGGTGTCCCAGAGGTGTCTGGGGGGGGTCGTTCCTGACCTGCTCCCTGCGGCTCCAGGTTCCCTTTGCCATCCAGGTAGGACACGTGCACTGCGGGACAGCGAGGATGAGACCCCTGCCCCACCTGGGAGGGCTGGGGGGGTCCCAGGGGGGGATTTTGGGGTCCCACCTCTGACCGTGGTCTCGGCACAGCCCTTGGGGATGTTGGTGGCCAACGCCAGCTCCACCAGATTCACCTCCCGGTCCTCGGGGAAGAACAAATCCCCCTCCCGGAGCGGCCGGAACGGCAACGAGTCCTGGGAGCCACAGCCACACACGGCCTGGGGACAGCGGGGACATCACTGGGGACACCCCGGGGCTCTGGGGACACCCCGGGGCTCTGGGGACACCCCGGGGCTCTGGGGACACCCCGGGGATTGGGCACTGCCCCAGTGTCCCCAGTGCCACCAGGC